GGGGTATCAACCATGAACCATGCATGCGTGTGCATGTCGCCATGCATATGAATACAGTTGGCGCCCGCAGTTAAGAAACGCTAATTTCAGGTCCAGCCTCGAATTCTTATTGTGGGCTATAAACTCAGCGTATGACGTTCAGTTTCTTATTTCAAGTTTCTTATTTTTTCGTGCAGCCAAATCCTGCTGAACTTCTTAAATCGGCAATTTCTCATTAATTCTCTGCTTGCATACTACACAACGTTCGAAATATACAAATGATTTGCACTGCTTTCCTCGACCCCGGTTCTCAACCCCGATTCTCACTACCGACGGCTGCACGTAAGGCCACTCCCTAGAAGCGAAATGTATCCAGCGGCAACGTCTCGCTATCGCTACAAGGTCCTGTACCCCCCTCATGAGTGAGGGCTGAAACTAAACAAATGCAGAAACACCGCATGATGACTCACCCGCACGCTGTAGTACCAACAACGAAATCTACCCCGTCATTATGTTGCAAGCTCCGTGAGGCGAACATTGGGGGTTGTCACCCTTTTGCGCCTCCCGCTCCCTTCCTTATTGAGACATTTCTTATTGTGTGGCCCAGATTGAGCTATGTTTCTTAACTCGTTTTATTATTTTTCGTGAAAAAGTGAGCCTCAATTTCTTGACAAAATATTTCTTAACTGCGGGCGCCAACTGTACATCACACAAAAAACTCTACGCGTGAACAGAGCGAGAATGGCAGAGAATGTATACTAGCCAGCATGCAGACGATCCTGCCGCAAAAACCACTGATCAAAACCTACAATACACGAGTTTGAGAAATTTGCAGCCCGGCCACCTCACAAATGCGATAATTTTTTTAGCATCACAACGCTGTTTTTCGCTCTTTTTATCTCGTTCTTTTCTTTCTCTCTGCCTTTCGTTTTTCCATCCCTTTGACCGGGGTCGTCGATCGTCTCTTCATCCCGATTACTGTTTTCCTCACTGTTGAATATCTTTCTGGTTGGATAACAAACCGCGCCTTTAGGACTTTTCTTGTGTCTATTTTTCGTTTTCTTTCTTTGTTAGAAAGGTGTACCCCCCCCCTGCGGGGGGCACAAGGCTTGTGACCACGGAAGACGTCCGCGTCAGTTGGACCAGTATGGACATCAGAAGTACTGAGTAGAGGCCGGAACGGGTTTTGTATGTGCAGACAACAACAACAACAACAATGCCTGCTGGGTATGCAGGAGAGCAGGCCAGACATTTGTACTTCTATGCGTGCCTGCTCTGCGTTGTGTGTTCCCTTACAAGTTTGTGGCAAAATCAATGAAGGTGAACTCAGCAGCAGTGGTACACACATGATGAGCGCGTCCAATTCTTATTTTCCGACGGAATTTCGCCGGGGGATGAATTTCATCATCCTATTTCAAAAGGTGTAGGCTGACTGACCTCCTCTCGCCTCCGCTTCTCCCGCGAGGCTTTCCGCTCCATTCGGTCCGGGTTAAGCGGTCTCTTCCCTCCTGCCGCTCCCGCCCCACTCCCAACCTTCACCCCGCCTGCGACCGCCCCTCGGCGGCCCTTGCTGCTGCTGCTGCTGATACCCTTCCCTCCCGGTGCTGCCGTTCCACCGGCCCGCTCCTGCTTTGCTGCCACGAGCACCTGCGATGCGGCAGCAGCATCATCGCGGGAGCACGGAGAAGTCGTGTGGGGAACGGCCACAGAATCGGCACTAGGCCCTCCTCCTCCTGCTCCTGCTGGGGGGCCCAGGAAATGCGGGCTGGTGCTGACGCTGTAGCTGCTGTTAACGCCGCCATCCCAGCCGCCTGCGAGCAGGCTTGCGCTGATTTCCGAGAGGGCCTTCGGGCCGAGATTGTCCCAGTTGCTAGTCTGCGGCAAGCTCCGCTTCCGCCCGCTTGTTTTGGGGGGAGAGGGAAGCGGCTGCTGCTGCTTGTACTGCTGTTGCGTCTCCGTCCCATTGCTGCCGCTAAGGTCTGCGCATGAGAAGTCGCCTCTGTAGGGCGACAGAAAGACATAAACGTGCGCATACATGTCGCAAGGAGAGCAATATTCGCGTTTGCTGAAAAAATGTTTTTTTTTTTTATTGCAGATTGTCAACAACGACTGCCATCGGGTTGGGTACATCAACAGGCAAATAGAGAGACAGAGGAGCAGGGAATGGCGACTTGTAACGTGGGAGGGACAACGGCTCCCATGCGACGGCCGATCCCCCGGCTTGCAAAGGAGACGTAAGCTGACGTTCGGGACACCATGAACCACACCACGTAAACTAACGCGTCACCAAAACGGAACGCGCGTTGTACCCACACCTCCCCACCAGCAAAAATGGGGCACCTACGTTCTTGCTTGAGCCAAGACGAGGCAAAAACGAAGAGCGGAGCAAAGCACGAATTGCACAGGAAGCTGTGCGATGAATGGCTCTGAGTGCGGGGAGTACATCACGCGGCTGCACTGCTCTCCTCCTGCATGCCCCATGATCAGATACTAACTGCCTGTGCTTCGAAGTTCAACCCAAAAAAGTGGAGAGGAGCCGATTGAAAATACACCTCTCGGATCATCAGTTGCCTCCTGCTCCCTCTCGATACAACTCCGTGCTCTTCAAGCAAGCAATATTGTAGGGGATGCCACAAAACTCACAGGTCAACGAGAGTGTCCCACACGCTCGGCTGTAGCAAGCCGTCGAACTCTTCCGACCCGAGGTCTTCATGCGGCATGCCAATCCCGGCTGCCGGCGCAGCAACCGCGACATTGATGCGAGGCGACGACGACGACATGCCAAACAAACGCCAAACCGGGACGGAGTAACCCTATCTCTTGCCTCTCCCGTCCGCCCAGAGCAGCCGTTACGACCTATAATAGTGCCCTCTCTCTGCCTCGGGGAACGATGTCACCCTCGCAATCCCCTTCCTCCTTCAGCTCTCCTCCGGCTGCGCGTTGGAGGCGTGGGTTGCCTCGCAATAGCTACCGCTCCCGTATGATTTATTGCTGCTGACGTTCTGTATCTCTCTCTTTCTCTTGCTTGTGGATCTTCCTGTGGTAGGCATTTCACACGTTACGTACGCCCTCTGATTGGCCAGAAGGCACCTCTGCGGGGAAGCTGCCAATGCTCATTATTTTTGTTGTCGCACTCCACAAACGGGTAAACCCGCCGGGTGGTCTATCACGATCCATTTACAACTCACATCATGTATTTAAACACCCCCAGGAGGCGAGCTAATTGGCATACACCATCTTACCCTTGTTTGGAGAAAACTCCATCGGGCACACTCCGGAAGGGGTCGATTTGTCCCAGAAACGGTCAAATCGTCTGGATGTGCGGCGCGGGACATGTTTATTTCTGCGGGTTTTGGACTCGTCGGGCGCCGGGATTATCTGCCCATTTCTGGGTACAAAAAAATCTACCTCTCTCTTCTCCGGGTACCCTGTACCACATTAGTACTCAGCACCGGTCGCATTGTTTGTGGAGGATCGAGATGCCAGTGGGAGTTGGACCCGATGGAGTTTCTCTGAACGTGGGTACGATTTGGCACGATTGTGTTGGCCAATTTTATCAGCTGGCTATGGCTGTGCAGCGTGATATTGAGTGTATTATCTATGCGTACGTGTACCCCATCTTATGATAAGACCACTCGGGGGTGTTTTCTTTTTTATTTTCCTAATATCACACAACAATTCCGTCTCGACGTATATCTATAGAAATAAGTCTAAGCTAGATTAGCAATGAATCCATAGCGTGAGCGAAAGTGTTTTTACTATTAGCATTGACCGCGCTAACCGGCTGACCAATGAAAACACGTCAGTCTCAGTGCGGTTGAAAACACAAAACGCGTATATCTGCCATGAACTGGGACCCCGTGAGGGTGTGTGTGTGTTTTTATTATTAGCATCGACCGCGCTAACCGGCTGACCAATGAAAACACGTCAGTCTCAGTGCGGTTGAAAACACAAAACGCGTATATCTGCCATGAACTGGGACCCCGTGAGGGTGTGTGTGTGTTTTTATTATTAGCATCGACCGCGCTAACCGGCTGACCAATGAAAACACGTCAGTCTCAGTGCGGTTGAAAACACAAAACGCGTATATCTGCCATGAACTGGGACCCCGTGAGGGTGTGTGTGTGTTTTTATTATTAGCATCGACCGCGCTAACCGGCTGACCAATTAAAAGACGTCAGTGCCAGCCGGTAAGGGTGTGTGTGTATGTCTGTCCGTCCTATTATTATAGTCTATATTATGGCGACAGTCCCCCCATTGTATTTGGTGAGACGTGTACTACACTTTTCAGCATAATATGTAGTCACACAGGAGGGCGTAAACATCAGGGTTTTTTTGTCCTTTTTATTTATTTTCATGCCCCACCTTCCTCCTGCGGTGCGTGCTGAGTTTTGTCCCTTTTCCCTCATCAACCGTGCTAACGCCGAAGTTTGGTACTCACGAGAGCTTGTCAGCTATAATATATTTTACTTTCACCCGCACATTTCATAAATTTTTCACCCCATGGGGATTCGAACTCACGACCTCTGCGACTAGCGGATTAAGAGGATACCACTAGTAGTCTAGACCACCGGGGCGACCGGGGCACTCGTGCACATGCACCCCTTTCAGTCTACTCTTGTTGTCCTTTTGGGGATTAAAAAGAACGGCGGTGCTCACCGGTTGGTGTGATACACGACCTGCTTTATTGATAGTACCCTCCCTTAGATACAGGAGTTAATTACGGGTGGAAATATCTGTTCATCAGAACACACCTGCGTATTTAGTTGAGAGCCCTCTCCAAGTGAAGATATCTCGTCAGTCAGGCAGAAACTACTACAGCAGTATTGCTTGTATGCTGCACTCCGCGTGACCAGTAGTCGCATCAGGCAAGTCCAAGTTAAAGTTGGATTTTGTTGTCCGTGTGGGCACACGGGAACATGAACAAGCATTGTGCTGACACATGCATGCACGCGGCGGTCGCGCGCCCCGCAAAAAAGAGGGAACTTTGTCAATTGATTAGATATCAAAGAAAAAACGGCACGAATGGTCTCCTAGCAGATTTGTGATCGATCGCAGCAGCCAGTTTATACCGCCAGACGCTTTCGACGACGAGCTAAAACAACCCTTCCTTTTCACCCTGAACCGGTTGAAACGCCGAAACATCGCAGACACCACAAAGGCTGTCAATTAAAAAACACAAAATGACACTCCCTAGCGGACCGAGACAGCCAACAGAAAAAAAGGCGAAATGAATCTGAAAAGCTCGAACCCCCCCTACCCGCCCTCCCCTTTGCAACTCCTAGACATTCATACGAAACTCGAACAGAAGGGCGACGCGTGGGCATGGGTACACGTCACGACAGCCCCACGCAAAAGAAGGCCTAGCCAACGTTCCGTACTAGACCTCAAAACCTTGGACCCCACGAACAACGATTTTTTCAGCACAACCAACAGGCAAGAATAATAGGCAGCACGCGCACACATTTCTCCCAGCCGAAATCTATGGGGAAACGCACATGGACGACATACTTGGTGGAAGTTAAAAGAAGTAAGTGGAGAATCAACACAGATGAGACCCCGACAACACAGGGTGGCTAGGACGAACGGGCAGGTTCATCTGTAGGCCACATGCCTGTAGAAAGATACAGTGATCAACACACTCAGACATACACACGGGAGACACAAGTGTGCCTTGCAAGAAGAGACTGAACACAGGAGACAAGCCCGGCATGTTCTCCCCAAGAACGCCTGGGTTGCCGTGTACGTATATGTAACGCGTAAAATAATTGTTTGGTTAATAGTCGAAAACAAAAACGCTCGAAACATGGCAAAAGAAAACAAGTACCAGACCGAAAAAAAGAAAGGCACGTTTCAAGCGTCACAGCAACACATAAGCGTCTAAGGAAATCACGAAAACAACACAGGTGACACGGCAACTGAATATCCCAGGCTAGCCGGGGAGGAATCACAATCCGTCTCCACAACCGCGGGTAGAGGGCTTCTAGGGCCCCGTCCCGCCTACCCCCGCTCCCCGCCTACATTTACTAAACACAACTACGAGTACGACCCCCCCCTCCCTCGACACAGTCTCCCCACCTGTTCACCCCCCCTCCCTCGACACAGTCTCCCCACCTGGTCACCCCCCCTCCCTCCTCCTCGCCTTATCATATGATGTCAACACTAAAAAGAAACATTCACTATTTTCTTCCTTAGTCACGGCGTGTGCCCTACCCCTGTCCCCGCCACAAACACACACACACACACACACACACGTGTCAGATCCTCAACTGAAAACGAAAGTGTTACAAACACTCGTTACCGAAGAGGGCGCGCGTACCCAAGCTCATGGTGACGGACAACGAACGAATCGATCACGACCTTGAAAATTGAGGTGCACCAACGACCTCCTGTGTGCGCCGTCTTCAGCAATGGGGCACTATCGAAATACACCCGAACGACCAAATGATTCGAATATGAATGCCAACATTACAACCACTACAACCTCGCCCGTTGAAACCACGACTATTAAAAGGCGTCACATTAAGGCCAAGTCCAAGCTGCCAGCTCCCCTCGTTGAATACCCGTCCGTGCGAAGGTTTGGTCACTACGCACGGCGTGCAGGGCTAAGGAGACAACAAGTGACGCGACAAATCACGCACACACCAATACAAGGAAGTACCGCGTCACGTTGTCACCCCCCTCCCTCCCGTCTCTCATGACAACCTCCAAGAATGTACACAACCGCAGAGCCCCGTCAAAAAACGAGAACTCGGCAGGCAGTTTCGTATAAGTGATCGTCGACCCATATAATTAAGAACACACCCGACGGCGGGGTCCTGTTCGGGCTGAGGCCCTCGCCTTTTCACTCGCATCTTCACATGTCGTCGAACTCGAACATACAGGTACTATCCGGATCATCGAAGCCATCCTCAACAGGCACACCGCCCTCAACGCACAAGTCATCTTCTGGTCGTTTGTAAGACGGCCTCAACGACTCCGCGGCCTTGGCGTCAGCAGCAGCAGCAGCGGCAGCAGCAGCAGCAGCAGATTCGGCAGCAGCCGTCGACTCGGCAGCGAAGTATCCCTCGAACCCGAAGTGCCCCCTGCCAGCAGGGCGACTCTCGCGGGGGCTGTTTGGAAAGTCAAAACGCGGCCGGCTCTTAACAGCAGCATGCGCAACGGCACCGCTGCCCCCGCTAGGCCGCGGCGCCGGTGGGGTCAGCTTCCAGAACGACGACGGGGCGCCCCCCGCGTCATCGTCATCGTTCTCGACTCTCCCTCCCCCCCCGAGCGGGATGGTAGGGCGGATATCGACGGTGGGCGCGTCCGCCCTGCTGACGGGCAAGGCTGACTGCGTCCGGCGGTGGAATTGGCTGTAGTCCTTTCTCCTGCAGGCGGTTGAGTTCTTGGTGGTGTGCCTGCCCGACATTCGTAACTCCATCTGCCCAAGAGAATGGTTGAGAGCCTGCAACAGAGATAGTACGGGTGCCGAGGGTAGGACACGGTGCGGGGGGTTCAATTAGAAAACATGCGTTATCAACGCTTTTGGCGGCAAAATTAATCAATCAATACCGCCCTTGTTAAAAATACAGTACATATATTACGACTTAGCAGACCACGCGCTGGCTCGAGGGGGGGGGTCCGAGGGGGGG